ACAGTTTCATTATTGTTTAACTACTGAAAAACAGCTCTGATAATCTATCAAGCCTGACATCTCAGCCACCTCAGCAGGCCAGGCGTGTATAGGAAGGGGCTCGAGGATCCAAGAAGGAAAATTATTTTGTTAATCTAAACAGAGGAAGCATTTCTTTTGGGGAATAATTTGCCATTTTGAAATCTGTTCTGGAAACCAAGGGCCTGTTTGTCCTCAGAGTTATCATGTGCAAGGATCTAGAAAGCATTTCATCTGATGAATTTACTCCTTTGAAATGGACCTCATGAAACACAGCCTGGCAGTCCTATGGAGAGGGGATCGCCCTGCAGTACAGCAGCTCCCCAGCAGCTCCAGCCCCATGTGCTCCCTTAGCATCAGCCTGAAGAAAGAGATTCCACAAAGGCACTGCTTACCAGTGTTCTTCAAAGCATTTCCCACAGCATTCTGAAGATAAAAAGGTGTCAGAGGAAAAGAAAATAAATTAATATTTGAGCCTACATGGAAGTACAATATAAACAATCTCATTCTGAGGTTTTTTTTTTTGCTGGACCACAAAGCCCACTTGAGGCTCAAGTGACATCAAGGACCACTAATGTGAAGAATTCAGAGCCGATACAGAGAAGGATAAGCAGCCCCTCAGAAAGCAACTCTTTTTTTAAAGCAAGCAGTACTTCATGGGGACATAGTTCTAAAAAGCCAAGGAGGGCTTTAAGAAGCTGGAATGAGCTCTCAGCTCTGAGAAAGAGGGGAAAATAAAAATGTAAGATCCCAACCTAACAGCCATACTCTGCTTCTTACAGAAAACCGTGGTTTTTCATCCTGGCAGTGTTCTCTGAAGACTGAATAACCACCTTCAGAGGGATGCACCATCTGGTGACAGAACCCAGCCTGCAGACAAGTGCTGCTTCTGACATCAATTCAGGGCAGAGCAATTCTCCTACTCCAGCTCTCCCCCCACCTGTGAGATGGAGAGCACAGCTACTCACCCTGCAGAGCCTTCAGGCTCCTGAGTGCCAGCTGGTGTGAGCTCAAGGCACTAATCTCTGCCTTCTTGCCACGACCTTCACTAGGAAGCAGAGGAAAACCAGCACAGAATGGAGGATACAACCAGGTGCTAGGGTACAGGGGGTTGCAGGAAGCAAGGTCATGCCATGCTCTTGTCCCAGCTCAGACTACAGAGAAGCACTAGGTCCCCCCAAACTCATTACTACACACCTGCAGCTCCTCTCATCCAGCATAGGGGCAGTTCCTGACCAGATCACCTCACAAAGAGATGTGTACACACCTCACTGTCTCTCCTCCATCAGACATTAATCTCTCACCCCCTTCCACCCCTAAGCAGCCAGTTCAAAGGCACAGGACGTGCTCATTTCTGATCTTTGGATCAGGCTCCACACTCCTCAGGGCCTTTGAAAGGCTTTAGAGAGCAGACTCTCCACAACACCCGGTATGCATACAACAGTGCACTTCAAGACAGAAAGGTAATCTACGCCTAACAAAAGGTTTCTTCTCCTCCATGTATTCCAGCAAAGCCAATGGGCACAGCACAGGGGCAGATTTCCCCTTGGCTGAAGGTGAGGCTGCAGACCACAGCTGTGCATCAGGTGCATCCCCAGGTGAGTCAGCAAGGACAGCAGGAACAGATCACTGCAACTGATGAGCAGCCTGCCCACTTCCCACAGCTGCTGCAAAGTCTGAAGCACCTCTTTTAATAACCCTACTACGTGTAGCACTGGAGATTCATGCTCTAGCCTGACTGAAGAGTTTGCATCTAAATTATGGCCTTAAAGCTATTCCAATGCAACACAAACTTGAGCTGTTAAGCACTTATCCATGAACACCAATGTGATGGCAATCAGCTTTTAATTAAGCCCAATTGCTACCAGCCGGGGGACGCCCACACCACAGAGGGCTACAGCTGGGGAGCTGCAGCAGGGCTCATGTAAGCAGAGAGAATCATCCCCAGTAGGAAACACAATAGCCTGAGCAAGTCACTTGGTTTCATTAGACCCAATTGTTCTACTGAACATAATTATGCTTACAGAAGCAAAGGTCCCTGAGAATAGAGACCTTCCTCCCAACCACTGTGAATGCAAAATAGGTTAAAGAGATAGCACGGCGCAATGGAGCGTAACAGGATCTAGAAACCATAAGAACCAGCATTTGGAGCCAACAGCTTCATGTTCCCCTTCCCAGCTCTGCAAAAAGCAGGTAACACTGGAAAAGACAACAAGGGGAAAATACTGTTTCTTCTTTCACATCACTACCTACATGCCTTAAGTATCGCTTAAGTTAAAATATGAGGCTCACAGCCTTTAAGCGCAACTTGCTACATTGTCACACACGGCAACTCCTGCAGCACCTGCCGTTACATCCTAACCAAACGGAGAACCGAAAAAGAACCACACAGTGATGGAACAACTGGGCTGGAAGGCACCCATAACCACCCCTGAGCCCGACAGCGGCACTGCAGGACTGCTGCAAAAAGGAGAGCACGGGAAGTTCTGCACACAGCCTGGGAAAAAAGAAGTGCTGTGAAAGCCTGCACTGCCCTCACACAGCACCGCAGCCGGGCCAGGAGGAGGAGACACACAAAGAAAACACAGCTGCGTCCCGGCAAGTCGCGCGTTGCCCCGGACGTACCTTAGGCAGAGAGCTCAGACATCGCGTCGGTGTCACAGCTACCTCCGCTGATCGCAGCCCGCCGCGCACATCCCAACGGAGGGCCGGCAGGTGTTACCGCCCCGCGGGCAGAACGGGCAGGAAGGAGCCCAGAGCCGCCCTCAGCCCGCAGGAAGCGCCGCGGGCGGCTCGCAGGAAGGCACCGCCCCCGGCAGCCCCCGGTCTCGAATCTCCCAGTGCCCGGCCCGCAGCCCTCGGGGGACCTCAGCGAGGGGATCCGCGCCCCACGGCCCCGAGCAGGGAAGCCGGGCCGGCGCTCCGACACTCACGCGCCGGCCCACCGCGACTTCCCTCCCTGCTCCGAGCGGCCCCCCGAGCCTCGCCGCCTCACCTGTCCCTCAGCGCCCCGTCCCGCGCCGGGCCCCGTGCCGGCCCAGGCCGCGGCTCCTCCCCGAGCGCTGCGCTCCGCGCGGCGGCGGCGCTATGGCAACTGTGCGCCGCGGCCGACCATAGAGAGGGCGGCCAGAGCGGCGGCCTTAAAGCGGCGGGCTGCGCGCCCCCACACGGCCCGCCACCCTGCGGAGCGGAGGTCTCCCTGGCGCCCTCAAGCGGCCGAGAGGGGATTGGTGACTGAAAGACCGCCGGTTCGAGACTCCAGCCGGGCAACTCGGAGTTCGGCCGGGAACAGTCGCGGGGACAGCGCGGTGCGACTGTGTGCTGCCTTGGAACCAGGTCCCCAGTGCCGTGATAACATATACTTACTCACAGGCTCGCAGAATGGCTTGGAAGGAACCCAAAGACCACCCAATTCCAACCCCCTATCACAGAATCACAGAATGGCCAGGGTTGGAAGGGACCTCCAGGATCATGAAGCTCCAATCTCCCTGTCACACGCAGGGCCACCAACCTCCCCATTTAACTCTAGACCAGGCTGCCCAGGGCCCCACTCAGCCTCTCTGGGCAGCTGTTCCAGCTCCTCTCTGCTCTCATAGGAGAGAACTTCCCCCTGACATCCAACCTCAATCTTCCCTCCCTCAACTTAAAATCATTTCCCCTTGTCCTGCTGCTATCTAGTATTTCCAAGAGTTGATTCCCCTCCTGTTTGTAGGCTCTCTTTAGGTACTAAAAGGCTGCAATCAGGTCACCCTACAGCCTTCTTTTCTCCAGGCTGAACAAGCCCAGCTCCCTCAGCCTGTCTTCATAGAGGAGGTGCTCCAGCCCCCTGATCATCTCTGTGGCTCTCCTCTGGACCCTCTCCAACAGCTCCCTGTCTTTCTTCTACTGAACAGGCATGGATGCTATCCACAGGATCAGGGTACACAAAAATGTACATGCTTTTGTGTCCCTGTATGTGTGCAGACATGCACATACCCTAATAGATATATGCACACATATACAGATAGTACATATATATACACATAAATGTATCCAAACGTGTGTGTAATACACACATCTAGGGCAAACACTCCACCCTACAGCCCTGCAGCCAGTGCAGGTAGCGGGGCTCAGAGCAGGGACATCCCCACCTGCAGTGGCACAGCCAAGCGCTGACCCCAGGACTGACTGCCTGCCTGAGCACAGGGAGAAAGGCTGAATTAGGATTTTTAGGTCAGAAACTCTTTTTGACCTACTTTTACTATGTAAATTTAGGGCAAAGCAGCTCGAGTGAGAAGCTGAGATTTTCCAGCGCAGGTAAGACTGCTGTCACCTGAAGCCATCGTTGTGCCCATGCCAAAAGGTACACAGAACCCACAGCATCATCACCAGGAATTCGGGACCGCAGCACCAAACCCCACACCCTGCACACCTTACCCCAGCAAAGCACAAAGCAGACTGCAAGCAGATGAAAGTCTCACAGCTGTGCCAGGAGCTCTGGAGCAGCGCGGCTTCGTCACCTTTCCCTGTTCCCTTCCCCTTCTCCTCCTTTTGAGTCACCGTCCCATGACAGCCCGCAGTGACAAAGTGCAGAAGGAGCATTTTCCGAACCCGGCATTACGTGGGGCTGATGACTGCAACCTCCCATGATTTAGGGGAAGGAGGCACATGGAAAACCCCTCTGCTCCAGACAAAACCATGGCTCTGTACAGCCCTCCTGCCCATAAGGATCATTCTGTGAGTTCCTGCAGACAGGAAAACTGCCCCAACATAACCAGCCGCAGGCATGGAAATCCCAGAGCAGCACAAAAATTGTAACTTTAAAATGAATTCTAGTCTTACGCAGCACAGCAGTGCCCCAAAACGCTGCAGGGCTGTCAAAGTGACGGGATCACATCCAGTGCCCATTGCATCCCTGCTCACTAACTCACCCCACCTATGCTAAGGATTACTGAGAAATCTGAAGCTGAGCAGAAGTTGCCACACATTGAATCACAGCCTTGGACTGTAACAGTGTGCAACACCTTTATTTCTCAACCAAGAGCACCATGGGCTGCCCAAGGCAGCAGTTATGAGGTGGGAACAAAACCACAAACCAATGCAATGCCAAGGATGGGACAGCCCCACTGGTGGCAGAGGAGGGGTCCTGCCTGCCCCATGCCAACCACACATGTGCCAAGAGAGCTCTCCAGGGAACCCCACACACGTTTTCTCACAAGGCAGAAGAACAGGAACTGTTCTGTGCTGTGGGACTCAGAGGCAGTATGTGCTGTGTCTGCATAGTTTTTTTTACAGCTCTCCCAGACCTTGACATTTGCTTTTCTGTCCCCATCAGGGTCATGGTGTGGGTGTCGCTGGCCTCTGTTTCTGCACATAATTGTTGCCAATATCCAGCTGCACCTGTATCCCTGTTGGCTGCAGCAGGAAACAGAAGAGCTCAACTCTACTAAGCCTGCATGAGCTGCACCTTTCCCAAGCCAAAGCCCCCAGCTCCATCCCCTTGAGGACTTTTTTCTGCCAATGCCCTCATTTTATCTGGGTCTGCTGAATGAATGCAGTTTAGCACACTTTGCTCTGAGAAGACCCCAGGTGCACCGTTATTGCCATTACTCAGCACAGGATCACATCTCTGCAGGTGTTTGAGCACCGTGACAGTGAGATGGGCTTGGGGACACACTGACCCAGGTTGCAAGCAGTGCCCCTTATTTAACAGAATAAACCCGAGAGCTCAGGCTGCTGGCATCAGGTGCCTTTCTCAGTAGCACACATCTGCCACTCTCCCATTGCAGTGTGTCCCCCTGGGGGGGCTGACTCTGCATCCCACTGCTCCACACCCACACCTCCCTTTTCCATAGCCAGAGCCCACCTGGCGCGGTGACTTGGCCAAGCAGGCAGTGTGTGGAGCAGTGCCCTCCTCCCACGGCGCTGCTCTGCCCTGCAGCAGCACACGGGTGCTGGGCACGAAGCTCCAGGAGCGGCCAAGTGCTGACTTGAGAGCGCCGGTGCTGCTGTCCCTTGTCACCTGGTTGGTCACCTGCCACGCACACACACAGGCTGTGAAACTCAGTGAAACTCCTGAGGTCACCAGGAGATGATGGCTAAGTTGTCACTTGATGAAGCTCTTTCCCTCCAACCAATCAGCCAAAGCAGCTGCACCAGGGGCTCCTAAACCTGGGCTCCCTGCCATGGCAGGAATGCTCACGGACAGCAGCACTCACCAGCACCACCACGCTGAACTCCTTGGCCAATGTCTTCAGCTCCCGGGCCAGTTGCATCATGATGGCCAAGCCTGCAGGTGGAGCAGGTGTTGAGGGGTGGAGTGCTCAACCCAAACAGAGGGAGCAGCCCCCAGAGCTCACCCCAGAGGTAGAATCATAGAATCACTCAAGTTGGAAGACCTCTAAGATCAAGTCCAACCATTGACCCTCAGCAGCTCATTGGTGACGCTGGACTTGTGTGAGCCTTATATATGGTGCTTATAAGCACCTTCACATCATTTCCAGCATGTTGCCATCAGCCTCCCCCCCCACAGAGCAGCTCAGGGCTCACCCTCTGACTGCTGGCCACCCAGCAGCGGGGACAGCACGGCTGACACGGAATCAATGAGCACTGCCTTGAGCGGCCCCGCCGAGCTCTCCACCTGCAGAACAGAATCAACCATGCCACATTGAGCAACATTTTTTAGAGGTGTTACAGCTGCACTGAGGCTTTGATATCCCTGGGATGAAGTGACACTTGTCAAGGAGAGGAACTTGGAGGCCTTACCTGTTGGGAGAGGCAGTCCCGCACTTCATGCAGGGCACGCAGCATCTCGTAGATGTCAAACACGCGGATCACCTGCACCCGCTGCAGGGCCTCCAGCTGTGACACACAGCAGTGTCAACCTGCAACCTGCACTGCACGCACAGCACACCCACGTCCCTCCTGCCCATGCCACAGAGCCAGGGGCCTTCATTTTTCCTGTATTTACCCCCACTCCATGAACACTGTTGTCCCCACAACAATGATGGCAGCAGCACAGCAGAGCAAGCTCAAAGAGCAATGGGTGAGGGACTGAGTCAGGCTCTCCCATTCTCCACTAAGAACAGCACCCAGCCTCAGTAGGAATGGGCCCAGCAGAGTCCATGAGGATAACAGTGGGCTAATGCCCTCACAAGCAGGAAAAACACCGAACTCACCTGCTCCTCCTTGTCCTCCACCCGGGACTGGAGCATCTGGTAGAGGCGGGAAGCAGTGAACCCCCCCGTGGAGTCGAGGAAGACGACGTGCTGCCTGAGGCCGAGGGACACGCTGGCCGCGATACTGAGGCACACCTGGAGCAGTATGGACCGGTCATCAGCTGCCCACCCATGGCACAATGAGAGCCTTCGGTGTCCCCGACCCCAGGCCAGGTCACCCCCTGCCCCACTCACCTGTGTTTTCCCACTGCCTGGTGCTCCTGCCAGCTCTGTCACCTCCCCGGTGTACAGCCCTGCGTCCAGCAGCTGGTCCAAGCTGTGGGGTGAGCACAAGGTAGGATGCTCAATATGCATCCCACAAAATGGGGACAGTGCTCTCACATACCAGTACCTATCATCCACTTCACAAAGAAGACATGGGCTCTGCTCCCACCCTCCAGCCCTGACTCTCCATACACGGTGGGCTGCAGCAGCTCTGCAGTGCAAGAGAATCATGCTGAGATGGGAAAGAGCCTGGGAGCCAGGTTTGAACATCTGGGGTTTCTCTGCATCCCCACTGTAACAAGCCAACAAGGAGACTGGAGAAAGAGAAATAAGCCTGGGCAACAAAGAGCAAGTCATCTCTTTGCCCAGCCTTGGGAAATCATCACTCCAAACCCTCCCAGATCCATAACTCTCTTCTCAAGGGGAAGGCTGAGGGCAGCACATTCTCTAGTCTAGAACTGAGACATACAGCCAATTCCAAGAGATGTGCAGGCTCTTGCAAGGACAACAACGGCAGTGTCATCCCTCAAGGGACAGAGACCAGCTGACTTCACAGCCACAGGACATGAAAAGTCACCTCTGCTCTCAATGGGCACAGCCAGGCTGGGGTTGGTGACAACTGCTGGAGACAAATGGGACAACATTGAGCACACTGGGGGCATCACCACAGCACAGCTCACTGGGCACCCACCTGGGGCTGCCGGTTGGCAGGATGGCAGTGGAGCTCTTGAGCTCCTCATAGAGGTCTGCTCCATTGGTAGGGAAGGCTGAGAACTGCGCCAGCAGCACACGGCGCACAGCCACCAGCGCCTGTCGGACAGTTTGTAAAGGGTCTAAGAAAGCCCACAGCCACCAACGTGCCCTGCAGAAGATCCCCCAGAAAAGCCCACTCAAGCAGGGAGCTGTGAGTGCCCAGCTTAGGGAGGATTCAGGGATAACCCGGTACCTTGTAAGACAGGGAACAGTTCTGGGCAACGTCCTCCAGATCCGATGACACAAAGTCCACCACTACAAATGACACAGAAACAAGAAGGGTGGAATGTGCTGATACCCCAAAGGGGCAGGAACCAACATCCCCCACCAAGTTACCAGTCCTGATGTTGTTTGCCCTGAGGAGTTGGATCATCTCTTCAGTGAGACCAGGGCACAGCCCGGCCCGCAGGACCACCATGGCCCCGGCACGGCGGGACGGAGCGCTGCAGGGATGGAAGCAGAGACCTGTAGGGAGATAGGATGGGCACCCAAGGGGTACCGTAGTGTACACGGGGGTACCACGGTGCACCATGAGGACATGCATCCCGCAGCATCCCCAAGGGGCCGCCCACACCGCAGTGATGCTGCGTGACCCCAAGTGGGTCCCTTTAGTGACACCCGTCCCCAAACCACACACGCAGCCATCACCGTGCCCACGGGGCGAGCCCTCCCCAGCAGCTCCACGCGTGTCCGGGAACGCTCAGAGCCACGCGGAGCCACGCAGAGCCCGCACCTACGGGTGGCCGAGGGGTCCCTAAAATGCCACCGGTACCGAACCTCATCCCATATCAACCCCCTTCCTGCTTCCTGCCGGCTGCGGAAGGGCTGCCGGGCTCCGCACCCCCCCTAGCGGTCTGCTCACCCCCAAGGATGCTTCCAAAAACCGTGATCCTGCTTCTGGACAGCAATAGTAAGGGAATCACAGCTGAGAGCTGGTCTCTGTAGTGGATGCCTCACCAGCTGGGTCTAAATGGCCATCCAGTGGTCCAGAGTCTATAAATATTGGAATCAAAAGTGTAGGGTAAGATAGGGTACTGTACAGTCGATGTTCTTCAGTAACCACAGAATTATAGCATAGCTCAGGTTCAAAAAGACCTTCCAGGTCATCAAGTCCAACCACAACCTAACCAGAATACCCTAACTCTAACAACCCACCACTAAATCATGTCCCAGAGCAAAGCTGAAGCCTTAGGCATCGTGTGCCCAGCACAGCTCCTCTGAGCCCCACCACTGCCCCAGGGCTGCTGGAGGGTGCTTTGATGCTCCCTGCGGGGTGATGGTCCCACAGAGCAGGCTGGCTTTTCCCAAGATCTGATGTGAGCAAGTGGCTAGAAACACCAGAGATGATGACTGCCTGGGGCTGGCTTTTGAGCAGACCTACTGAGGTGTGCAGGTGGGTTTGTGTGGTGGAAGATGAGGGTGCACTGGGAGGCTCTTTGCTGTCCCCAAAGATGAGGGGCACATGGGGAAACACAAAGGCTGATTCTCTCCCCCTCTGCCAGACACTTGAATTTCCTCAGGAAAAATTTCCTTTTGCTTTCTCATCCTCCAGAGGGCCCCCAGCACCCACTGAGCTGCACGGAATGTATTGGTAGGAAACACGGCTTACTTAGCCATGGAAGCTGGGCTGTGAGCGCTGTCAGGGGGAAGCTGCCCCTACTGAAAGCAGTGTAGGGAAGGGGGTTCTGGTGCTTTCTCTCTACGGCTGTTCTGGAAGGTGCTGGCAGCTGCCAGGCAGAGCCACTTGTCCCTGTGCAGCTGTCTCATGCCTCCCTAAATAGAAAGGGACAAGGCGCTGAGCACTAGGACGGGGGTCAGCCGTGTGAACTGATTTGCTTATGGCACAAAGCCCTCCCATTCCCACTCCATTCTCCGTGCAGCTCTGCAGGTGGTGGATAACAGGGATCCACCCAGTGGGTGGGAGAGCAGCATCCCCTCTTGGTGCCCAGAGCTGTGTGCCCTTACACACAGCGTCCCCCCACACGCTGGCTGGCGGTGGCCCCCAGCCCTATATAGCACAGGGGACAGGCAGTGGTGACAGGTGACAGTGACACGCAGCAGGAGCTGCCAGCTCTTGCCCAAACTTGGAGTGGGAGGTGAGCTCTTTCCCGAGCCGTTTGGACTCTCCAGACTTTCTGAGCTCTTTTTTGTTCTTTTATTTCTGTTCGCTGGTCACTACAGATCGACAGCTGTGGAGGTCTACTGCTGAGGAGCCGCAGCCTCAAGGAGCAGTTTGATTTTCTGAGCACTTCAGACTGGTAAGGTGCTTTTGTTCAGGGATATTCAACAGGCAGCCCAAACCAGAAGGGGCACAAATTTCATGTTTTTCCTTAAAACTCCCAAGCAGCCTAAAGTGTGTGGGTTTTTTTTTCCTCTGCTCCCCAGATGGAGGACCCCATCCAGCTGAAGGAGGAGGGCAACAAATATTTTCAAGCCAGCGACTATGAGAGAGCTGCTGAGAGCTACACGAAGGCCATGAAGCTCAACAAGGACAGGGCACTGCAGGCCGTGCTGTACCGCAACCGGGCAGCGTGCTTCCTGAAAAAGGTGAGGAAAGCTTTGGGTCCCATCCGCATAGCATGAGCATGCTGGTTTAGCTCAGCAATGGTCCCAACCCCAAATTGCTGCAGGCTTTTCCATTGCTGCCTGCAGGCTGTTGTTGTCTGACCCATACCAGACATGCTTGTTTCCTTCCATCACCAGTGAGATGGTACCCAAAGCTCCCTTCTTGCCTTCCATAGGCTCCTATTGCTTTCACCAGGGTGCCCTGTTAGTGGGAACAGAGCTTGAGTTGCACCAGCAATGGGGTCACGCTCCACTGTCTCACTGCTGATGAATTGCTCTGCTCCTCTGGTTTTGCAGGAGGAATATGCCAAGGCAGCCTCGGATGCATCTAGAGGTAAGGAGAGGCTGTGTTTGTGTTCATCTGCTCATATCTGCTTTTGGGGTACTGTTCTCATGGTGTTGTGTCCCCTAACACACAAGTACTGGAGAAGGTATAAAAGGAGATGCAGCAGTTGGTGCATCAGTGCTGGTTTGATACCAGTTCACTCTGAGATAACAATACCTATGCGTCCAGGAAATGTAGCCAATGTATATTATAGGATCTAAGATCACCCAGTCCAACCATCCACCCTTGGCTGTGATTGTTCTACACCATGCCCCTCAGTGTGACATTGACCCCTTTCTGGAACACCTCCAGGGACAGTGACTCCACCACTCCCTGGGCAGCCTGTGCCAATGCATCACTGCTCTTTATGAGAAGAATTTGTTCCTAATATCCAACCTGAAGCAGATTTTACATGGGGGATTTTCAAGAAGCAGACTTTGATGCCCTGACCTTTGGATCCCTTTCCCAGCTATTGACATCAATTCTTCGGATATCAAAGCTTTGTACCGGCGCAGCCAAGCTCTAGAAAAATTGGGAAAATTGGACCAAGCATTCAAAGATGCTCAGAAATGTGCGACCATGGAGCCCCGCAACAAGAACTTCCAGGAGACCCTGAGGCGCCTGGGGGCTGACATCCAGGAGAAGGTAAGTCCTGGGGCTCATGGACCTGGAGATGTGGCACTGAGGGACATGGTGGGGATGGGTTGAGGTTGGGCTTTGTGATCTTAGAGGTCTTTTCCAACCTTAATGATTCCATGATTCAATGGCTTTGTAGACATAGTGGGAATGGGTTGGGGTTTGACTAGATGACCTGGTGGTCTTTTCCAGCCTTAATGAGTCACAATTCTATTGGGGTGAGCTGGGCAATCATACCTGCTTTCTGAGAAGCGATGCCCATGTTGTTATCCAGCTTGCTGTCCGCCATTTGGGGACCGTGGTTGTCTTGAAGTGCAAAAGGAAAATTGCTTTGTGGTTTTCTGATGCTGCACACACTTTGTGTTGGCACAGCTGCGCATTCAGTTCTCCACGGACATGCGGGTGCAGAAGATGTTTGAAATCCTGCTGGATGAGAACAGCGAGAAGGAGAAGCGAGAGAGGGTGAGAATCTGGCATTGCTCCTGTACTCAGGGAAGGTGGGCCCCAAAGTACCCAAACTGGGATCCAACCTGTCCATCTCTGCCACCTTCCCTGCGTTTCTCTCCAGGTGCTCACTCGTTTTTTTTTATAGGGAGGATCAAGACTGACCTCCAGGTGCACCTGGAGAAGATGCTTGGGATCAGAGCTGGGGATCCCAAACATATCCCAGAGATGTTCTGGAAGCTGTGCTGCTGACCTCTCCTCTCTCTCCCACCCAGGCTGCCAACAACCTCATAGTCCTGGGCCGGGAGGAAGCGGGCGCCGAGAGGATTTTCCAGAACAATGGGGTCAGTTTGCTGCTGCAGCTGATAGAAACCAAAAATGCTGAGCTGGTCCTAGCAGCCGTGAGGACACTTTCAGGCATGTGCACAGGACATAAGGCTCGGGTGAGCAGCTTGGGACATTCACTGCTGTTGCCTTGTACCTGGAGAGCAAAAAATCACAGCTGTTCAATGCACTCATGCCCTTTGCTAACAGCTCTGCTCTCTCCTTTCGGGGTCAGGCCACTGCCATCCTCCATTACGTGGGCATTGACAACATCTGCTCGTGGATGTCGGTGGACAATGAGGAGATCTCCCTGGCTGTCTGCAACCTCCTGCAGACCATCACTGACTGCTTGCTGGGGCAGGGCAAGGAGGAGCACCATGGCAAGGAGGAGGCTCTCGTGCTAGGTAATGGAAGTCCTTGGTCTTGTTGGAGAAGCAAGGGAGCTGGTTCTCTAACTTCAATACCAATGTTGCAGCCATGTGATGGCTTTGACTGGTTTTCTCTGAGTTCACCAGCTTTCAGAGAAAGCTTCTCCTGACTGGCTGCTGCTGCCTTGCTTCTGTATAGATACTAAGAAAGACTTGAAGATGATCACGATGCGTTTGCTGGATATGTTGGTCAGTAAGAACGTATCTGGGCAGGGACGAGACCGAGCTCTCAACCTCCTCAACAAGAACATACCAAGAAAGGACCCGAAGGACCATGACAACAGCAGGACCACTTTTGTCATTG